CTCACACATCCTAGGCAAGTGCTCTACCACTGAGCTACAGCCCCAGCCCCATGAGATTTTTTTATATTTATTTTTTAATTGTAGATGGACACAGTACGTTTGTTTTATTTATTTTTTAGGTGGTGCTGAGGATCGAGCCCAGGGCCTTGCACGTGCTAGGTGAGTGTTCTGCTGAGCCACAACCCCAGCCCAAGATGTTTTTTATCACTTATTTTAATCCTCATTTCACATATTTAAGACTTTCCTTATAAAGACTTTCTTACTCAGAAACATCTTAGCACCTTTAAGTTTCTCTTTCCTATTTGTTGACCCTTCCTTTTGTTCAAATTTTGAAACAAAAGATGAGAATTATTCCATTTTAATAAGATGAAAACCTTATATTATTTATAGTGCTCTAATTGAAACACAGGTGAAACTTTTGGACCTTTGTATATAGAAATCTTCTATAAACCATTTCATATAGAATTACATCTGTTTATCAGTTTATGAAAACATAATGTCTAAGTATATAGAATTACACCTGTTGGGACTTTAGATTTTTAATAACCTTGTTTTTAGTGATGACATAGAACATTTTAAAATTCTTTTTTAAAAATTTACCAATCTATGAAAAAAACCCCCAATAAAACCAATAATATTTAATTGTGTTACCTTATGGAATTTAAGGAGTTAAGAGTACCTGATGTTATATTTAATAGTTAGCATGTTAACTTTGTAGATTAATCAGATGTTTCTAACAAATATGATTATGAGTAATACCATACATGTTGAAGCTAATATATGTTAAATCTAACTTACTTATTCCACAGCAAAAATCAAGACATTGTTTAATATACTTGTCTAATAGTTTGGCCTTTCCAGTACGACAAGCAAATTAGACTCCTTATGGAATAGTATTTATTATCTTTTCCTTGTTGAAGAGAAGTTCTAGAAACAGTGGATATTAGACATTTTATAGACATTAACTTTGTTAAAGACATCTTTACTTTTATTTGCTCATCTAATTTACTTTGAACCCTTTTAAATTACGTGAATTGAAGGTATTTGGATCCATTGTTGAATTTTAGTTTGAGTGCTCTATGTTGGTTTTGAGACATACACATGTGTAGACAAGACAGTACATATAACAACAAATAAAGGCCTATCTCTTTTAAATTTATTAGATTAAAAGCAAACTTTTGTAAATTGGACTCCATAAAACAGGTCTGATCAGAAGTTATAATTTAGGCGCATAGGATTAAAACTATGAGCTGAAAATATAGGATTTAAAAACAGGAGTCCTCAGAAAAAATGGTGTAGCCATTAATCATTTCAATTTAATAACATGAGAGAATCTCCCGTTAATCATTTTGGTTTAGCTGTATAAGAGAATGATATATATATAGAGAGAGAGACAGTGAGAGGGAGAGAGAGGAGGAGAGAGAGAATTTTGAAGTCATTTTCTGTGTTGCCACTAGGGAAAGAGAGGAATTAAATAGTTTTGGGCCTGTTGGATTCTTGTGTCTTTAAGATCTCCTCGGAAGGAGAATATTTGTTTGTTGTTTGGCTATTTATTATTCCTGTAATTTGGGGTTCTTTGGATGTATTTGGGGACCTGGAAAATTGGCTGCTCACATTGGGGACAGTCCACCTTCCAGTGTCCCTGTTGTTAACATTTGGGACAGGCCTCAGGTTAGGGCAGACTTTTTTATATATATATATATATATATATATATATATATATATATATATATATATATATGATACACCTTTATTTTATTTATTCTATTTGGTGCTGAGAATCGAACCAGTGCCTCACACATACCAGGTAAGTGCGCTACCACTGAGTACTAGCCCCAGCCCCTAGGGCAGACTTTTGCCCATTGTCCAGTCCATCCACATTGGGTGCGAGAGCAGTCAACAGCCCAATGGTCTGCCTGGTGGCATTTACGACAGGGATGGGGCTGGGGGGGTGTTGCCGAGGATTAGGGCAGGATCTGACCCAATGACCTGATTGACCACATTTGAAACATGGTCTGGGTGGTTCCCTGGGGGGTATTTTGGAGGGTCTAGAGGTGAGTAGGGGCATAAGCTATGGGGGCGTTCTCTTGGCCTTGAATTGTGGAGGCCAGGGGCTGGTATATAACCTTAAGATGTTTCTCTTTTTCTTTTTTTGGCTTCCTCCTCCCGGTTATTAAAAACCTTGAAAACCTTATCTAAAAGTAGCTGCTGAGGAGACTCAGGGCCCTCCTCTAACCATCTGAGTTTTTTGTGGATGTCAGGTGCAGACCCGCAGATAAAGTTAAAATGAAGGAGCCTGCCATAGGGGCTGGTGACATTCCAATTTGTGTATTTGGTGATAGCCTCAGTACGTTGGGCCAAAAATTGGGCAGGATTTTTATTAGGTCGTTGGGTAATTTCCTTTATCTTTTTTCAATATACCAAGATTAGTAATAGTTTTGGGCTGATTAATTTGGGGTGGAGGGTAGCTAAAGGGCGGACTAAGGAGAAATGTAGGATATATTGGAATCAGGGAGGATGGGGGAAACTGTCTTCCTCCAATAGAAAAAAACAGAGGTGGAGCGTGGAATTTAAGGAGTTAAGAGTACCTGATGTTATATTTAATAGTTAGCATATTAACTTTGTAGATTAATCAAGATATTTCTAACAAATATGATTATGAGTAATACCATACATGCTGAAGCTAATATATGTTACTATTATAATATATGTTAACATATATAATATATGTTACTACCATATGGCTAGCAATAGTTTTGGGGTGACTGTCCAATTTCAAGGGGGCAGTGATGGCTAGGCAATTGAAATTAAGTCAGATGGGATTTTTGGATTGGGAGCTCCCCATGTGAGTTTAACAGCTGAAGCGGCTAGAGGCAGGCATCCCCAGCTCTAGATCAAACTAGAGGGAGTGGACGCCAGCAAAAGCAGTCTGCCTGTCACTGGATTCACTGGATTCTCTGGCCCCAGACGAAAGCCTTTTCAAGATTGAGAAGGGAGCAGTCACCCATATTCTGAGTCAAGCTAAGAATTAGGAGACCGGTAAAGGCTAACTGCCAGAGTCAGCTTGGGTCTTGGTGTCTGGTACCAGGGCTAGTAGGCTTCTGGTATAGTCCTTGAAGGACTAAAAATAGTTAAGACCCATTATAGGGGCGACTCACCAAGGGGGATCCTCCAAAAGGGAAGGGAAGGGAAGGAATGGTGGAGAGTCTTGGCATTGAGCCAAGACCTAAGTTAACTTTTGTCTTCTGAGGGTCCTGGTGCTGAAGGAGCCAAGGCTTAAGTTAACTATCGTCTCTAGAGTGTCCTGGTGTTGAGCCAGGACCTAAGTTTTGTCTCTAGAGGGTTCTGGCACTGACCTGGGACTTCGAGATGAGAGGAGGGAAAGGTAAGGTCACTTACCAAAATAAGGCCTGTGTGTGGTCATTCGAGAGCTCTCGGTGGATGGAAAGGGGTGTGTGGGAATCGTCCTGGGCTCTGGGTTTGGGAAAGGATTCTGAAGCTGCTCAGATCCCCCCTAGGGGAGAGCAAGGTGAATGGGAGAGATTTTCCTAGCCAGCACACCAATGTAAGGAAACTAGTGCAGGCCCGACCACTGGAACACACCAAAGCTAAGCAGAAGCAAATTTATTGTCAGGAATCTGACAGGCTGCCTCTGTGCAGAGAACAGTAGCAGATTTCCTCTGAGCAAAATCTTTCTAAGTCAGAACCTAGGTTATGCATTGGGATAGCTCTTAGTATTGCAGGTAGAGAGCAAGCTTCAAAACCTCAAGAACCACAAAGGGGAGGGGGCAGGAGAGCCAACATACTGTCACCAAGTTCTTGAACTGGCAGCCCCTATATATACTCAGAAAGTAAGTTAAAATCTGTGAGCATTGTGGAGAGGGTGCAGGTGGGTGGGGGTGTTATTCAGCTTCTTTGTGAATAGGCTCTTGCAGGAAGGGGATTGGGGGAACAGGGTGAGATGTCTGAGCAGACTGGGGTCAGTTTGACTTAACTTCTAAATTAGCCATAGTTTATATTAACAGGCTAACAGTATAAGGGTTTTTGTTTGTTTGTTTTTTTGGTTCTGAATTAACAGGATATAAACCTTAGGAACAGAATTACTATACAAATTGGATATAGGCAAGAGAGAGCATTACAAGTAACTGGCTCTCAGTGCAGGGTCTACTGGTCATTGCATGGGATGAAAAAAATGATTCTCATTGGCCTTCAACTTTTCCGAATTGCTCAGAAACGATGACATAATGCTCCCGACGTGCATATTGATTCATAATTTCATTTTAACTTCAGTGCCCATGAGGTTTGGAATAAAAGAAAATCCTATTCATTAACTCAACCCCTGGCCCAGTGAGGGGTTCCCTTATAACATCCATCGCTTTTGGAGTAAGATTTACTTGAGGTTCTTTCCTGACAAATTGTCGTTTTTATTATGGGAAAATTAGAACCTATTGAAGAATATATTCATCTTTGTATTCCCATCATCGAAGGAGAATTCTAAACATTTAACATCAGGTCTTTTGCTGTGTGGCAACTGCATATACGCATCATTTTTCTTTAAAACTCGGGGTCATTTGTTGGGCGTGGGTGGCTTATCGGATCCTCTTTGTGTGTAAACTTTCACCCACGGGTACCCACTCTGGTGAGGCGTGGGAACTCGCAACCGCAGGCAACAGTGAGAAGGGACGGCCCCAGCGGCTGTGCACCACTCAACCGAAGCTTGGGTCTGGCGACCCGGGAACCGGAGGTCCTCGGCGAAGAGACCGAGACCTCCAGGGCTCCCGCGGCACAGCCAAGCGCGCGCGCCACTAGGGAGCCGCACCTGCTACTGCGCAGGCGCCCAAGCTGGAGGGCGGAAGCGGAAGGCTCGACCCGTCGGTGGGAGCCTGAGTGACCGTAGCCATGCGCGGCCTGAAGGAGTCGGGGCCTCGACCCACAGCGACCCCGTGCGGGTGCATAAAGCCAGCCCTGGAGACAGGTAACTTCTAGGAACTGGCGGTGCCGCACTCAGGAGAGGACTCGGCGCAGGCGGCCAATTTCGTGCCTAGAGAGAAACAGAAATGCGCGAGACCGAACTGACGTGCGTCATTGTCCTACTTGTGGCGAAGGCACAGGTCACGTGCTCGGTCGACCACGTGACGTAGCGGAGGCGAGCGGGTGACGTCATCGCGCATGTTCAGTTCTTGTTTCACGGAGTGTACGGTTCACTGATCTTGGCGCGGTGGCCGGAACTGCTACGTGCAGTGTAAGGGCTTTTCTGCCTGCGGAGGTCTCTGTGCAGTGGGGGAGTTAGGCTGTGTCCAGCTGGTGAGGAGGTAGATGCCTTAAGAGAGAGCTTCCTGTGCTCTAGGAAATAGGGAGGGAGAAGGGAAAGTTTGGGGAGAGGAAGCCTGAAAGATAAGCATAAAGTTATGTCTCTTTATTTACCCCTCTTTATGGTGAGTGAAATATTAGTTTTAGAACTAGAGGATGCAAGTGAAAAGAAAGAAAAATAGCCTACTATGACGCAGAGAAAACCACTGTTAATACCTGCTGTCTACCTCCTGTAGTTGTTCTCGTTGCACACACGCTCGGGAAATGAGAGGAAATGCAACCACAGTGTTAATAACTTTGAGAAAAATATGCGGGTCAGGCCTGTAGTCCCAGCTATTGAGAAGGCTTGGGTGGGAGAATACCTTGAGCCCAGGAATTGGAGGCCAGCCTTGGTAATATTGTGAGAACCTGTTTCAAAATATATGCATTCACTCACACACACACACACACAAATAAAATTGTATTGAAATAAAAAAAATATTTCATATACAAAAATCTTTCCATGGCAATTAATTCACTTTTATTGTTTCAGCGATGTACTGTAATGTTATCAGCTGGTTCTCTATTGTTGGACATTTGGGTTATTGCCAGTTTTTATTGTAATTGAAAGATTCTTAAATCTTGAAGTCTATATATGTTCTAACTATTGAACTTAGTAAAATTTCATAGAAGTTGCTGTTACCTGGTCAAAGATTATGCTGATTTAATTTTTTCTTTTTTAACACATTACCAGATTACAAGTCTAACATTTTGGACAGGAACAAGCAAGAACCAAGGCTCAGGGATTCAGAAAATTTAAAGTGTTAAATGGACCAGTGGTGCAGGGAGAGTGGTTTCAGATTGGGGAGAACTTTGAATACCAGGCTAAGAAATATGGAGTTTACCCTGGACTTGGTGGTGCATTTCTGTAATTCTAGCTACTATTGGGGCTGAGGCAGGATGATTGCAAGTGGAGGTCAGCCTTGTCTGTTTCAAAATAAAAAGGTTTGGGGATATAGCTCAGTGGTAGAGTACCTCTGGATTGAATACCTAGCAACACACATATAACATGCATATGCAATATGTATCGTTAGGAGCAAATCTGAGAGGATAACTTCAGTTTGATAAGTTTTAACCAAGTTTATTTGTGTGTGTATGTATGTGCATGTGCGTACACGTGCCAGGGATTGACTCTAGGAACATTTAACCACTGAGCTACATCCCCAGCCCCTTTTTATTTTTAATTTTAAGGCAGGCTTTCACTTATTTGCTTGGGGTTTGAGCTGGCTTTGAACTAGTAATCCTCCTGCCTCAGCCTCCCAAGTCAGTGGGATTACAGGCATGCACCACTGCACATGGCATAAAATCATATTTGAATAGGAAGTGGAAGACCAAATTTAGGTTTCCTTTTTAATCTCAGGGAAAGGAAAGATATGGCATAGGTTAAAAGCAGTCTAGGGCTGGGGCTGTGGTTCAGTGGTAAAGCGCTTGCCTCACATGTGTGAGGCACTGGGTCGATCCTTAGCACCAAAATAAATAAAGATACTGTGTGTTCATCTACAACTAAATAAATATTGAAAAAAAAAGGAGTCTAAAAAGATGGAAGTTGTCCGGGTATGGTGGCACATGCCCGGGTATGGAGCCACATGGTGGCTCGGGAGGCTGATACAGGAGAATCGCAAGTTCACAGCCAGCCTTGGCAATGGCAAGGTGCTACCAACTCACTGAGACTCTATCTGTAAATAAAATACGAAATAGGGCTGGGGATGTGGCTCAGTAGTTGAATGCCCCTGAATTCAATCCCTAGTACATCCCTCCCACAAAAAAAGATGGAAGTTGTTGGCAGTGCATTAGTTCTTGGGATGGATATAGGTATACAGGATTTCATTATAATATTAGGCTTTTTAATTTACATATATGTTGAATATAATGTTATATGTATAAAACAATATGGTTTTTATAAATGAGAAGTAATAGAAGGTACTGTGAGATATAGTCCTAGATCTATATGGTTTTACTGTTGATGCCGATAGGATAGATTTCATGGAAACTGGAAATAAAATGGAGGTCTAGATTGTCTTTGTATCATCTCTTCAAGAAACTTAAGGCTTTCATGAGATGGGGGTATATATAAATTCAGAATGGACTGAGCATGTGGTGTATGCCTATATCCCAGCTACTTGGGGGGCTGAGGCAGGAGGATTGATGGAGCCCAGGAGTTCCAGGATAGCCTGGGCAACATAGTGAGACAAAAACAGAACAAAACAAAACAGAACAAAACCCAGTAAGTTTTAATTTGCATAACACCTGGTGGGGTTTTTAAACTATGAACTAGAGACATTGGAGAAATCATGTTTTCTTACACTTTTTGACTAATGATTTCTTACCTAATTTTCTTCTGCAGGGAATCTATTAACTGAGCCAATAGGCTACTTGGAATCCTGTTTCTTGGCCAAGAATGGTACGCCAAGGCAACCATCCATTTGTAGCCATTCTCGGGCCTGTTTAAGGATTAGAAAGAGCATCTTTAATAATCCTGAACATTCCTTGATGGGCCTAGAACAGTTTTCCCATGTTTGGTAAGTTGTTTTATAGTTTATGGTACTTTGGGCCAGACTTGCCCCTGAGTGAAGTACTCCAGTTGAAGGCAAATTTGGAGTCTGACAATCAGACTACCCTTATTTATTACATGGAATGTTGATACCACATTTGTCCATGTAATTGTTTTCATGGTTTGGACACCTTCAGAAAAGCTTGGAATCTACTACGGGGGTTTATTTCATTTGCCCCTGATTCTAATTGTGATGAATCCCTTCTGTTAAGCTGAAACCTTTGACCTTGATTTTGCCCATGGGTCATTGTGCTGACCTCTAGACCAAGAGTCAGCATACTACAGCCTGTGGACCAAATATTGTCCACTCCTGTTTTCATATGTTAGCTTTGTGAGACCACAGCCTTACTTATCTGTTTATATGTTGTCTGTGGCTATTTACTGTAGCATGCCTGTTTGTTTGCATATGGTGTGTAGCTACTGTTATGCAACACTGTTGTAGTGGCAGCTTTGTGTAGTTGCAACAGTGACTGGTTAGCTTCAAAACCTAAAATATTTACTATCTGACATTTTACAGAAAAAAAAATTACAAATCCTGATGTAGACTCATGAAGTAATTAAGTGTACTTGTCTTAAAAGACAAGAAATCTGCTGGGTATGGTAGTGCTACTGTAATTCCGGTGGTTCAGGAGGCCAAGGCAGGAGGATTGCGAGTTCAAAGCCAGCCTCAGCAACTTAGTGAGGCACTAAGCAGCTCAAAGAGACCCTGTCTCTAAATAAAGTATAAAAAAGGGCTGAGGATGTGTCTCAGTGGTTAAATGCCTCTGGGTTCAATCCCCAGTACCAACAAACAAAAACAAAGACACCAAACAAACAAACAAAAAAACAACAACAAACAGGAAGCCTTAGAAATCTAGATACTACTTGCCATCATTTGGAATTCTTTCTCTGTCTATTCTTCTTCACCCCAACATCAGCAGTCTACATTGGTCTCATTTTACTGGTGGAGATGTGAAGTTTTTTTATTCTGAAATAGGTTATTTTTCATATTTATTTGAGGACATGGGTAGATTAGAAAAACGTGGTATCCTGACATAGTTTGTATGATCTTCTAAGTTGAAAACATAGTTGGTATAAAAGATTCGGGAGTATGTAGAGATTTTTATCTACCACTTCTATTTTTCTCCTTTCTCACTCCTATCCCCCAACACTCTTCAGAGGTTATTATTGTTAACAGTTTGATGTAAGTCCTACCAGACCTATTCTTTTTTTCCTTTTTTAATACACATAGAAGCATAGATAGTCACAGAGTGGGTGTTTGATTTAAAAAATGGAATATGTTTTCCTCACTTAATAGTCTATGTCCTGGAGAACTTTTATGGCAGTACATGCAGATTTACCTTTTTTGCTTTAAAATTGTCTTGTTGCAAAATACGGATCTACCATGTTTTGGTCATTTGACTGTATGGTAGTACTGTGACAAATCCCCTTGGACACATTTTCTTGTGTATTTGTGCATTTTTATCAGTAGGATAACAGAAGTAGATGTATTGGACCAGAGGGTGTGCATATTTATGATTTTGGAGAGCTACTTCGAACATTGCTCTCTAAAATTAATCTTACACTTACACTTCAACAGTCTATGCAAATGACCTTTTTCTTACACCTTCACCAGCACAATATGTTATCAGTATTTTGTATTTTTGCCTGACAGAGGAGAAACAGTATTTTGTTTTATTTAGTGAGACTCATCATCTTTTCATATGTTTTTTAGCTATTTAGAATTGCCTGTTTTTGTTCTTTGCTAAGTGTCCTCTATTGGTTTGTCTTTTTCTTTTTTGGTGCTGGGGATTGAACTCAGGGAAACTTGGCCACTGAGCCCCATCCCCAGCCCTATTTTGTATTTTTATTCAGAGACAGGGTCTCCCTGAGTTGCTTAGCATCTCGCTTTTGCTGAAGCTGGCTTTGAACTCACAATCCTCTTGCCTCAATCTCCGGAGCCACACAAATGTGTGCCACAGTGCCCAGCTATTGGTTTATCCTTTGCTTTGTGATTTTTTTATGTAGTAGTAATTTATATCCCACAGATATGAACCTATTGTATGTAGCTAACATTTTCTGTTAGAATGACATTTTGTAATGCATAAATTTAATGATTTAATGAATTCAAATCTGTTATTGTTTTTCTTCATGGCTTCTTGGTTTTGTGTCTTTTTTAGGAAGATCTGGTCAAGTTATTCAACTATTCTGAGCTTCAATTTCCTCGTCCTTAAATGAGGGATAATTTATACGTCTTATGATTGTTAAGATTATTACATGAAATGGCTATAAAAATGCTGCCTGGCAAATAGCAGGCACTTAGTAATTATTATTTATTCAGGCACGTGACAAATGTCTGTTGTAGTCCTATGGTACGCCAGTCATTGTGTGAGGTATAAAGGATCTAGAGACCCATGACTTTATTCCATCAAGGAAGAGAAGTGGTATTATTTTCTCCTGACTGATTAATTTCATTAAAAACATTCTTTTTGTTAATTTGTGTGAGGGGGTTACATTCCCCCCCCCCCAAATCAGTATGCTCATATTTTACTCAGTGGTTTGGTTTATTTTCAATAGGATCTTGTTTGTTTTTCACAAAAATGGTCATTTGAGCTATAAGGCAAAAGTGCAGCCCCCTAGGCTGAATGGTGCAAAGACTGGTGTGTTTTCCACAAGGAGCCCTCATCGTCCCAACGCCATAGGATTGACCCTGGCCAAGCTGGAAAATGTGGAAGGTAACCCATTTCATTTCTACTTCTTATCTCAAAATATCTTATAAAGCCTGGTGTGGTGGCTCAGGCCTGCAATCCCAGCTTCTCTCTCTCTCTCTCTCACACACACACACACACACACACACACACACGGCTGGGGGTGCAGTTCAGTGGTTAAAGTACCGTCGATTTCAATCCTTGGTGAAAGAAAAAAAAAACTTGTAAAATCACCACAGCATCACTGCTTGCTGCTGTTCACATGAACACTACTGATGTTAAACTCCCGAGAACCCCTAGATGTTGAGGAACAAATGATGTTTGAAAGAAAGTTGCTTTAAAACACTAGGAATTAAACTCTCCTGGGAAGCTCAGAATTTGTTTTTATCACTCATTTATCCAAAAACATTAAATTAGTGGGGCATGGTGGTACACATCTTTAATTCCGGCATCTCTAAAGCCTGAGGTGGGAATAAGACAGGTTTGACACCAGCTCAAAATAAAATGGCTGAATATGTAGCTCTGTGGTTGAGTGCCCCTAGGTTCAGTCCCCAGCACTACAGGAAGAAAAACACATTATTATTTTTTTAATATCTTTATTTTTATTTATTTTTATGTGGTAATGAGGCTTGAATGCAGTGCCTCACATGTGCCAGGCAAGCGCTCTACCTCAGCCCCACATTAATTTTTAAAAGAAAAACTTATAGACTTCATAATCATTAAATTATGTAACCAGATTTTCTCAGACTCGGAATGCAGTAAATACAAAATGATTAAAAATTAATTGGAAAAGCTAATTTTTACTTTAACCAAAATAAAGCAAATATGACTGTTTAAAAAAAATTAATTGGAAACTGGTCATAGTGGCACACACCTACAATCCCAGGATCTTGGGAGGCTGGGGCAGAAGGATTACAATTTTGAGGCCAGCTTCAGCAATTTTGTGAGGACCCTAGCAACTTAGCAAGACCCTGTCTCAAAATACAAAATAAAAATAAAAAGGACTGGGGATATAGATAGTGGCTGAGCACCCCTGGCTTAAATCCCTAGTACCAATAAAAAATTGGACACATTCAAATGTAACTCATGGTAACTGGTCATACTTGCAGACCTAGTAGGCACAGAGTGGTGGTTTATCACTTCTTCCTTGAGGCCTTGAGAACAAGGACATCATGGCTGCAGCACAGCCATCAGCTCTGCTATGCGGCAGGGCCTGGGCTGAATCACACTGAAGTATCGAATATCTGGTGGACTGTGGAAGTGTCTATGATGTAGGCAGAAGATGAAGTGCCTGTGTGCCACCATGACCAGTTTCCAATTAATTTTTTTAAACAGTCATATTTGCTTCTACAGGATTGGTTTTAACTATGTGTTCCCATATAACCTCTAACAGTTTTAAAGATCTTCACATTCTTAAATCACTCAGACCTGGTAAATATGATGTAGGCAGAAGATGAAACAGCAGATAGACTAGGAGCCAGAAGACCATTCTGAGCTTTGACATTCATAAAATGGGCAAAGGAGAAGAACCTGTCCTCTGTCTGGCTCCACAAGATTTTTTTTTTAAAACCATCTTTGAGACAAAAGCTACGAGAGTCCTTTTTTGGCTATTGATCACTAAATAAATAAGAGTGTTTATTTTGCTCATTTTTTTCCCCAGAACTTAGAATTCCTTTGCTGGATTATACTCAACCAGGCAGGTTTTGGGTAGATTTTCAAGGAAATCTGGTAGGTGATCCACCTTGAATTTTATGATGGTTTACCAAAGTGGGTAATAGTGTTGGCGAAAGGCCAAACCCAAGACCCAGTGAAGGGTTGTGGCTGACGCTCCCCATAACAGAAGATAGATTCCTAAGAGAAAGCATGATAAATTTATTAATGTACACAGGGAAAAATCACAGCATGGGAGTCATACACAGAACAAGTCTTCATGAACTCCTACCTATGCCTTTCTTTCTCCTGCAGGCATTGTTAGTCATAATTCATCATTTATAATGTCCAAAGTCATCTTTTAAAAGTTTCAGGCTTATTCATAGTAAGCATGTTTTAGAAACCAGAGTCCATATATAGTCATGTTTTTTTTAATATTTATTTTTTTAGATGTAGATGGACACAATGCCTTTATTTTTATGTGGTGCTGAGGATCGAACCTGGGTCCCACCCGTGCTAGGCGAGTGCTCTACCGTTGAGCCACAATCCCAGCCCCTCATGTTTTTCTTAAATGGAGACAGAATCAAAATGATCCCATGCATTTTTTTTTTAAGTTCTTTTTCAGACAGTTACTAAGACACTATTAGTAGCAGGAAGTGAACAATAGCTGTCTTAGGACAACAGGAGACTTATTATTAATTTTGGTAATAGTGGCTTATTTGCATCCTACTTCCTTAAGTCTTGATGAATATATTTCTATTGCTGTGTAACAAATTACCAAAGATGTACCAGTTTAAGTAGCACATATTTATGATGTATTTGAAACATTGCTATCTTTTTGTAGGTCAGGAGGACACCTTAGCTGGGTCCTCTGCTTTGGATCTCCCAGGAGTACAGTTAAGTTCTTAGCTGGGATGAATTCTTATCTGGAGGCTTGACTGTGGAAGAATCTACATCTAGACTCATTGAGGTTGTTGGCAAAATTCATTTCCTTGTAATGTACGACTGAGGTCCTGAATTTTTTGCTGGTTATAGGCTGGAGACTATGCTCATCTCTAAAGGCTGCCCACATTTCTTAGAGGCAGCTTGTAGTTTTTTGCCACATGGACTTTCCCAACATGCCTGCTTATTTTGTCAAGCTGCAGAGAGTCCTTCAAGTGAGTCCACCAGCAATCAGGAATCTTGTAGGAAAACGGAGATACTGGAAGGTAGTCCAGCTCTTTTGTTACATTCTGTTGGTCAGAATCAAGATACAGTCAAGAGGAGGGTTACACAAGGACCTAAGCACATGGATGTGGGGGTCCTGGGGGCCACTTAAAGTCTGTTTGTCACAATGGAAACCCTCCTTGGACCATCAGTGATATATTGAGGAATGTAATGTGCCTGGAACAGCTGTAAGCACCAATCCTGCAAAGATGGGTCAATGCCAGCCCATGCTCAAGGGGCCTGCTTTCTGTCTAGGGATAGACTCCAAGCAAGTCATTGCCACTCTGTGTAAAAAGGGCTCTAGTAGAGATTTTGCTTATGTCTGGGAGTTCCAAAAAGGTTTGCAGACATGTTCTGTGAGAGCCTTGAAGAGCAGGTAGGATTTTGGCAGGTAAAGTAAAAGATGGGTTTTCAGGTAGAAAAGAAGTGTATGTAGATGGAAGGTGTTAAGAACCTGGTGTGGGTGAGCCCAGTGAGGTCCAAGAAGACCACGTGGGAGAGAATTGGGGCTTAATCATATCCTCCAATTATTTGCATTGTTCTTCCCTGTGAATATATTTTGTAACATTTTTAGTTTCAGATGAACACAACACCTTTATTTTATTTATTTATTTTTATGTGCTGCTGAGGATCAAACCCAATGCCTCACACGTGCTAGGTGAGCACTCTCCCACTTGAGCCACAACCCCAGCCCTGGCTGTGAATATTTTTTAAGAGTATTTTTTCACTTTACAGGTGGAGCTGTTTACCTGTCTGGAATTGATATGATACATGGCACACCTGTACTGGACATAAAGCCCTACATAGCTGATTATGACTCGCCACAGAATTTGATGGAGCCTTTAGTGGACTTTAATTTACAGACTAACCAACCTAAGCCAAAAACTGTGTTCCAGTGTGAAGGCAAGAATGACAGCTATGACCAGCGACAGCTCTCAGGGTACAGTGACTCTCAGCCCCATTGCAGCACTGAGGAGAAACCTACATGTCCTGAAGACAGAACTTCCAAAGAAAGCTACCCGAGATGTGACAGCACAGCGGAAGGCCAGGAGACCTTGCGTACGCACAGAGAAAGAGCAACGGATTTTGGTTTGGAATCAAGAAATGATCAGAGTCCTAGTGTGGCCAAAGAACAGATTGTCCTGTGTGGCCTGGAAAATAGCTGTCCAGAGGAAGGTACAGATGAGGAGCCAAGGAGTGAGGAAGGAGCAGCGGAAGGAGCAGCGATTCTGCAAGGGAGCAGTGTTGATATGCAGCCCGTGCCTCCTCTCTGCGGGGCCAGGAGGGCTGATAGAGCTCCCCACAGTGTGGTTCCTGCCTGGGTGAGAGAGGCCCCTGTGGCCCCTTTACAAGTGCGGTTTACTCCTCATGCTGAGAAGGAGCTGGGGCAGCTCAGTTCAGGAGGTGAACCAGGTACCCTCAGTTTCTTGTTTCTGAATGAGAGATGAGCTTTCATTTACTATCAGACATAGCCAGGTTTGGTATTTCCGGGCAAGTATATGAAGTATTTGTAGTATAACTGATTTTTAAGAAACAGGAGTATATATATTTGGGCAACACTAGTGTATAACGACTTTTGTTTGACCCCTGTGTGGTCAGTATAGTTAGTTCCAGACAGGCATTCAGTTCAGTTTTTACAGAGTGGCTGCTGTCCCATGAGGCAGCTGTGATTTACAGCCCTTGTCTTCCTGTTACAGTCATTCTTTGCCTTTGCAAACGTCATTCAGAAGCTGAACTGTATTCATTTCATACTTAGGTACACCAAGTTTCTTCTCTGTTTTATTGCCTGACTAGAGAGATGTTGCATTTTGTTCTGTAAACTGTTAGATCAGCCATCAGCACAGAGGACTTCAGGAGCCCACAGTGAGAGGGGAAGAGAATTTGCCCCCACAAAGTCCCAGCCCTAGAGGCATGTACTTTTCTGAGGGAACAGGATTTTTTTTGTTTTGTTTTGTTTTTGAAGATAACCTCAACATTTTATTATCTTCGTAACAAAACAAACAAAACAATGAAGCTTAGAACTGGATCACTTGGCCCTTTCTGTTCTTATCTGAAATATGGAATGCTTCACGAATTTGCTTATCATCCTGTTCAGGGGCCATGCTAATCTCTGTATTGTTCCAATTTTAGTATATGTGCTGCCAAAGCAAGCACACAGGGTGCTTTTTTGGAGTCCATTCGACACATGGTTCTTAACACATGTTATTTGGTTTCACCAGCCCACGCAGATCCCAGGTTGCAATCTAGAATGAAGGAAGGGATTATTCAGAAGTAGGAGCAGTGATGCCAGTAAGAAGTAGCCTCTTGTCAAGAAGATGTCAGATTCCAAAAAGGTAGAAATCTGTTTGTTGTGTTATATCACAGTAAAGACCCAACATAGTCTTGTAAAGAAGGAAATACATTCATTGATTCTCCAGTCATTGACTGAACTTCTAGGCACGAGGCACTGCCCTTGGTCCTTGGAATATATCAAATGAACAAAAAAGATTAAGGACTAATTAGAACAAATAAATTAATTAATTTAAAAAAAGATAAAGGCAATCCCTGCCTTCATAGAACTTGAGAAGCAAACTAAAAGCATATTGTACAAAACAGAAAGATGTTATATAGAAAGGCTGATGCTAGAAGGCTATAATGGTTATAGGAAAATGTAAAAAAGAATAGAGCAGGGTCAGGTTGTGATGATTTTAAATAAGGGGCCAGAGTAGTTCTCACTGAAAAGGTGCATATGAGCAGAGGCCAAAGAGGTGTAAGCCAGCCTTCCAGGGAGAGGTTGTGCCAGCCCGTGGGACAGCCAGTGCACAGCCTTACAGTGGAAGGCGTGTGGCGTGTGTGAGGCCATATGGCAGAGTGGACTGAGACGGGCAGAATGGAGAAGCTGAGGTAAGAGAGGCTGCAGGGACGGTCTGCAGGCACATGGGTTCCAGGGAACGTTATAAGGACTGAAGTTTTATCTTGGGAGAGGTTAAAGGCAGAGGAACTTGGTCTCAGTATTCCAGAGAGTAGAGCTTTATTCTTAACCAAAGCTTTTGATTTTAAAATTGATATATTTTTTTGAAAGTTTTGCTGGGGTCAGATCACTGCCCAATTGGTAATAAGAGATTTCTGGGATGTCAGTGGCAGGCCGGAGCTCCTGAATCAGGTAATGAAGCCTTTCATTCCATATTCAGAAAATAAAGGCTTAAACAACCACAGACATTAGTTTCCCCAGCTTTACAAAGAGGGAGAGAAGGAAGAGGATAGGAAAATGTTTGGAACTGAGCCTGAAAGAAGTCCTCTTAATTGGAAAAGTCTCAAAATTGGGGCTGATGAACTGGGGTTGTGGCCCAGTGGTAGAGCGCTTGCCTAGCATGTGTGGGGTATTGGGTCCAATCCTCAGCACCACATAAAAATAAATAAATAAAATAAAGGCATAAAAAAACCTTGGGGCTGGTGACAAGTGTCCTAACCAACTCTGGAGATTTCCCTGTTTCTTCCTGCCCAGGCCAGAGCCAGCGACAGGGTAGCACCCCTTTCTCTGGAGGAGGCAGCAGGTGTCCTCCACCTCTGGAGACGGCGGCCTGTGGGTGTGAGCAGTGGGCCTCTTGAGAGCTGTGCTCTCTCCTTTTCCCCTAGAGCTTTATTCTTAACCAAAGCTTTTCATTTTAAAATTGATACATGTTTTGAAAGTTTCCTTCATCACTGTATACAGTTGCTGGGGGGAGGAAGGCTGGAAAAGGATCTTGGGTTGGAGCAGAGGAGGGCTGCCTGGGAGGCACTTTGCTACACTGCCCCTTGTCGAGTGCCACCTACTGTGGAAAGTTCTCTTTTTCAAGTTATCATGCAGTGTATTTAAGGGGTTTCAAATCCGCCTTATTGATAAAAACGTGGTTAAAAAGAGAAATTACGCAATAAAACAGAGACTGATGGATAGCAAGCAGCAGGGTTCAAGCTGCTAGGAAACAAGACATGGCCTAAGGATGTTCAGCACCTGGAGGGTGAGCTGTTGAAAGGGGTGGGACCTGGTGCTAGCACAGAGTTCTGGGCAGAGCTCGTGGGGCTCAGGGAGGGGGGAGTGTGAATTGGGTTTGAGGGCAGAAGATGTGGGAAGGCTTCTTGGAGGACATTGTCTCTAATCTGTTTGGAGTGAGGGAATCGCAAGCCAGGAATGGAGGGCAGGGCACTCACGCCAGGTTGGCCAGACAAATGCTCCTGCAGCATTGGTGTGGAGGACTGTGATGAAGTCTTTCACAGGTGGCCCTCACAGTTATTTGATGTGCCATGCAGCTGGGAATGCAGCTCTGTAGTAGAGCACTTGCCTAGCATGTGAGGCCCTGGGTTCAGTCCCTAGCACTGCTAGAAAAATAAGTTAATGATCTTCTGAGCCTTGCAAGGAATCTTATGACTATAATTGGTCCTTGTTTTTTCATTAAACTTGTATTTCATGGATGGGAAGGATGGCAAATTCGAGGCCAGCCTCAGCAACTTAGTAAGGCCCTTAGCAACTTAGTGAGACTCTATCTCAAAACAACTTTTAAAAAGGGATGTAGCTCAGTGGTAAAACACCCTGGGTTAATATCCAGTACCAGGAAACAACAAAATTGAATCCACTCTATGAGGGACAAAGATCCACTGCCCTTCCAGGTGCTAGTTTGAGGAGGAATGGCTTTCATTTGGATGTTTTCATTTAAGTTTGTAGATATTTTATTTTAAAAAAAAACATACACACACACACACACACACATGAAATATTTATTTTTTAGTTGTAGTTGGACACAGTACCTTTATTTTGTTTATTTATTTTATGTGGTGCCAAGGATTGAACCTGATACCTCACACATGCTAGGCAAGCACTCTAACACTGGGCCACAACCCTAGCCCCAAATTTATATATATTTAAAAAGATATTAACTAGGGAGGTTTTGCCATTTAGAGGTAAGTATTGGCTTACTTGAAATATGTCCTTGGACAGCTTCCTTGAGATGCGTTGAACTATCTCAGTGTATCTGTTTCACTTTTGTCCTAGAACTCTCTCCTGTCTCTGTTCCTTCGGGACATGTAACTATGGGGCTATGATCCCCAGCCCTCTCATTCCTGTTGGCTAGTATCAGAGATATATATGAGTTTAGTTCACTCTCTTGTGGCTTTTTGGCTTTTTGAGAATACTGGGACTGTTTTTTTTTTTTTAAACTATGTCTCTGTTTTAAGAGAAAAATTACAAAGATTCAAAGTCTACATTGAGTGTAGAAAAAGTGCCATTTTGATTGACACAAAATAAAACTAACGCCGCCTACTTAGAAGTCTAATGAAATATGCTGCCATGTTTTTTTGTTGTTGTTCAGTAAAATAAAAATTGGGGAGTACACAAATTAAATCTAATGACAGTATGTGCTGCTTAAAGGTGAAACTCTCTGTATGATGGAATAGGTCCAAACCTTGTTCCTTTCAGGAATCCACCACATTCCATATTGAAGCTTACTGTCGTGAAATTTGACCTGTGTAATTTTGAGCATTAAGTTGTGCTCTCCTCATTGCAGGTGTGGATCAGCCGTCTTTTAGGTATTTTCAGTCAGCAGAGGAAGCGAGGCATGCGATTGAGGCCGTGCTGGCAGCTGATCCTCGGTCCGTGTATCGCCGCAAGCTCTGCCAGGACCGCCTTTTCTACTTCACTGTAGACATAGCACACGTCACTTGCTGGTTTGGGGATGGCTTTGCAGAAGTTCTAAAGATCAAGCCATTTCTTAGCCCCTGCAGCTGACTGCCCTGCAGAGCCCTTGGTGTCCCTGGGATCTTAAGCTTCCATCGTGGTTGAGACAGTCCCATTGACCTCTGCATGTGACTTCTGGGTTTTCTGTTCAAGCTGATATTGTGTCTTCTTTGCAGAAAGAAGCAATACTTTGTGCTCTGTTTGATTGGTAATGTTCAAAATATTTATTTGGAAAAACATTAATACATTTAACTGGGAGATATAAAATATGGAGTAATCACCAGATGCTTTTTGACCTGCCGATATTGAAGAATCCAAAGGTGATACTGTCTCACTGTTTTTATAAAGAAGCTTGTAGTTCTTTGCATTTGATCAGATGAGGCAGAGATCATTCTAGTGGAGGTTTTCAAGTTAGAATTGATCTGTTGCACAGTTCACATGGGTTTTCCTGTCTGGAAGAGCCTGACCTCTCTCTCAAATTGAGTTATAGCATCTTTTTTTTTTCACCATTTTATTTAAAATTTTTTTTTAATTGTTGATGGACCTTTATTTTATTCATTTATTTATATGTGATGCTGAGAATCGAACCCAGTGCCTCACACATGTGAGGCAAGTGCTCTACCACTGAGCCACAACCCCAGCCCAAATTATAGCATCTTAAGAAGCTAACACATAAAAAACAAGTGAGTATAGAGAGTTTTAGAGATTAAACCTCTGTATTTCAGAGACTTTTTGACAGATACACACACATGTATATATTTAATCCTGATTCCAAAATAAAGACTCTGATATTTCTTTGGCTGTTCTTAATATCAGGAAAGAAAATCACCAGCGAGGCATGGTGGTGCATGCCTATAATCCCAGAGGCCAGAAGACTGGAAGATAGCAAGTTCAAAGCCAGCCTCAGCAACATGGCAAGGCCCTCAGCAACTTATCGAGACCTTGTCTCAAAAAATAAAAAGGGCTGAGGGTGTGGCTCTGTGGTTAAGCATCCCTGGGTTTAATCCCCTGTACCGAAAAGAGAGAAATCACCACCCAGAGCTCAAGAAAGAAATCTTAACTGGTTTCTTTCTTTTTTCTTTTTTTTTTTTTTAAGTTGTCGATGAACCTTTATTTTATTCATTTACTTATATGTGATGCTGAGAATCGAACCCAGTGCCTCACACATGCCAGGCAAATGCGCTACCACTGAGCTACAATCTCAGCCCTACTGGTTTATTTCTTACTTATTTTGTGACTACTTGTTGAGAAGCTACCATGGGGTTTTGGTGATAAAATGAGATAGATGAATAAAATGCAGTTATGTTGCAAGTTATGGTTTGTGGAGGAAGTAATATATAAGCAAATTATCGTATTAGTTTGTTAAGTACAGTAATTAAGTCTGTACACAGTTCCTGTACCACATAGGAAGGAGGTGTAGGAACGTATTGTCTGTTGGTGATTTAACATGGTGATCCCAGATAACTGAAGATTTACGATCAGTGTAGCCAAATTATAGACACCTGTTAACCTGACCGACTTTCCTAATCACAACTGTAAATCTTGAAGCTGATTGGTCATGGTTTTGAAATGAATGCTGCTGCCTGTGGATGCTTGTGCAGTCATCTGTGGCTGATGACGCTGCACTCCTGAGCCCACTGACTTGTAGCTGTTGTCTTTGATTTTACTTAGACTGTCTTGGGAAAGTATCTTAAATTTGATTTTTTTAAGCTTTGTGTTTTGAAATAATTATAGGTTCCCAGAAAGTTGCAAAAATAGTACAGAGATCCTCTGTGGCCTCCACCTAGCTTCTTCCAATGGTAGCATCTTACATAACTCTAGTATAGTATTAAAGCTAGGAAAACTATAGGCCGTCCTATAGTTTTATTTGGATGTCTTTTCTCATAAAAATCATTTTGAAAGATTGGCTTGAAGAAAGATGGGTTGAAGCTCGAGGTGTTGATGTTTAATAGGGAATAATAACACTGGGGATGATACCAACCAACCTTCTGATAAGAGAACTGTTTAATCGTTTGGGGTTTTATTAAATGTTCTGAGGATTTTAGAACTAAAAAGAGTCTTAAGTAGAATCCAGCTCAGTTTTCTGCCTGTTCCTGAGTCTCTTCCTCAGCACTCAGTGTTGACCTTCCAGCCCCTGTGTAAGCACCCTCAGGGAACAGGCCTTTCCCATCCCTGTGCAGCTCATTCTGTTTGGACAGTGCTCATTATTAAAATTTTCTTCAAATCTGCTTTCTGTTAACTCCGTCCAGGTAGGGCCACATAGAAGAGGACTGTAGCCCTCCCAAGTTTCCTGTCAGATCATGCCTAAGTTGAGCACCCTCTTTTCTTCTGTTTCTCACATAACATGACCTCAAACCTCTCCCCTCTCCCAGTCCTTTTTCATTGTGAGCTTTTGTCCCTGTGGGTGTACACTTCAAGTATTCTTCTGTGAGGAAATGTGGGTCTCTAGTTGTCAGTTTCCATCTGAGAAAGAGAAGTAGGTCAAAGCACAGTCTGAAATGAGCGTATTCCTTTTTGTCTTGGAAACTTTTTTAAAAGAACAAGAAAGGGAAACACTTTTCTACTAGGCATAAATGACACCCGCCTAATTTTCAGCCTTTGCTCCTTAGAACCTGTAGGGGGAGCCCTTGATAGTGGATTTGTTTCACTAGCTTGATGGTAAGCAGAATTTCAAGGCATTCAGGTAACTTTGGTGTGGCATACTTTTCCAGCTTTCAAGAGCAGTAATTTCTGACCCATTTCAACATATAGGAAGTGATTGGAAGGTGAATGGCATTTATTAAATTTTTCTTAAATTGCAACTCCATTTAAGGGTGGGATGGATCCTTCCAGCAGGTGGAGCTGTGCACAACAAGGCAGACTTACTTATCCAAGCGTGCTTGTGTGTGAGGCCTTCACTCGGCCTGTGTGTTTGTGACTTTTTTTTTTTTTTTTTGGAGAGAGGAAAATGAAGTTGAAGACATGAATCAAGCTCTTGTTGGTAGTTTCCTTTTTATGATATGGTACCCAAAAAGGCAGATGAGGACTCAATATTAATGAAGTCTGCATTGATTGCTCATCTCTGTCATGTCATTGGCACTGAGCCAGGGGCTTTTTACGCATCAATGGAGGTTAAGTAATGTGCTCAAGGTCACATAGATGGCCATACAGATGGTCATCATGTAGCTAGGATTTCGGCTCTCCTGGTCTGCCCAGAGTGCTTCTTTCTCCACTGGGCTCCATCACCTCCCCCAGTACAGGTGCAGATCCTTAGCAAACTGTGCTGGTTTATTTGAGGGTCAGCAGTTCTGAATGCGTAAGCCTAGGACACTTGACTCAGCAGAGTGTTGTTCTTGGAAATCCAACCACTGAAGGAAGAACAGAGATGAAGAAGGGCAGGAAAGCCCATCCTTGCCAAATGTGCGTGGAGTCTCATGGGAAGTTGGAAGAGCACTGCGTTTGGCCTTGAAAACTTCAAGTGCTGTTTTCTGCTCTACCATCTTCCTGTTGCGTGACCCTGAGAAAGTCACTGCATCCAGTCTCCAATTCTGGGACCTTATAAGGATAATGCTTAGGAAGGTATCTTCTAATAACTTCAATGGTCTGTAAACTTAGGTAATATTTTTATTGAGCCTACATTGATACCCCCTTTTAAAATAGAACACATTATATTTCTACTTATAATTAAGCCAGTTAATTGCATTATCAATGTCCTCTTTAATTTTTTAGGGTATTTAAAATGACTAAATCATATTAATTATATTTTTTGGTACTGGGTATTGAACCCAGAACTACATCCCCAGTCCTTTTTATTTTTTGAGACAGGGTCTCACTAAGTAGCTAAGGACCTGACTTGGTTGCTGAGGCTGGCCTCAAACCTTCAATCTTCCTGCCTCAGCCTCCTGAATCACTGGGATTATAGGTCTATACCACTGTGCCTGGCTATTTCTAGCAATTTTTGATTTATGAATCCTTATGCCATGTTAGTTAAGGTGTAAAAATTTATGCATGTTATATCAACTGTGAGATTCATACACATCTTTCTGTGGTAAAGACTGGGACTGGCCTATATTATATCCTTTTTGTACTGCTTTTGTTGGGTTTTGGTAACAAGGTTTTGCTGGTCTCATAAGACAGATATATCTTCATTTTTATTTTCTCTGGAAGACTATATAACATATAACAAATTTAAAAAAGAGGATTACAGCCAGGCACAGGGATGTATACTGTATATCCCATTAGAATTTGAAAGATGCCTTTTGTAGATAGAACTTGCTGGAGAAACCATGTGAACCTGTTGTCTTCTTTATGGAAAGACTTTTATTGCATTCCATAAACAAATTCAATTCAATTTCTAATTATGTTTTCTTGCCAGAAATTTTTTTTTTCTTGCTTCAGCTTCTGACCTGTGTTGTTGCCGAGAGTCAGTTGTACTCCTGAGAGTGACACCCTCTCCAGGCCTCTGCTCTGTCTTGCCTGACTGGATAGCAGACTTTAGGGAATTTAAAGATCTCTAAATACAATGTATACATGGCTTTTAAAAAAATTTCTTTTACAGAAATATTTTTTAAAAATACTTTTTAACAAGCCATATGATGTTTTGTTAAGGGCAATATCACAGAGTGCTCCCACTTTAAGATTTATTTAACATTATGCCAGATGCCCAAGGTAGCTTCTTTCTTGGGTTTCCTTTCTGAGGTTATTCAGTCACCAGCTCCATGCCTTTTTCACATGATAATCCTTTTGCTTTCTCTTCCTCTTCCTTTCCTGATTCTAGCCCAGGTATTTTTTTGTAATATTTATTTTTTTTGTAAGTGGACATAATATCTTTATTTTATTTTTATGTGGTACTGAGGATCGAACTCAGTGCCTCACGCATGCTAGGTAAGCACTCTACCACTGATCTACAGCCCCAGCCCAATCTAGCCCAGGTATTGGAGGAACTCTTCTGCATTTCTTTTATAAGAAAGTTAAATTGCAATCATGATTTGAGATTATTAAAGCAAGCTCGACCTCTGTGACAAGAGAAGAGGTAAGTTGTCAGTTTTAAAGCTCATTTATTTATAATAAAGATCTTTTTAAAAATATGTGTATATTTTTAGTTGTTGATATACCTTTATTGTATTCATTTATTTTTATGTGGTGCTGAGGATTGAACCCAGTGCCTGCAAGCTGTAGAAAAAGACTTTTCAATGCCCCTGGTACAAAACTCAAGTGACATAAACTCTCTTTTTTGGTGGAGGGGACTGCTTAGTATGTGAATTCACCATGTCAGCCAGTCACAATTGAGTCAGTGTGTTTATGCTGTGCTTCCAAAAAGGCTGGAGTGGAGGAGAAACCTTATCAACCTCTTCTGTCTCCTCAATAACGAGGTTGCAACTTTACTAGATTCTTTACTATTGTGTGTAATTCTTCCCAACTCCAGATATATAAAATATTTTTTATTCCATGTTAATTTTTATTTTAAAAATCACACATTAAACACTGAAAAATGTGAAATAATTCTTCACAATTGGTCTTTTACAAGGTCATTTAAAAACATTATTTTGTTTGGTAGCTCAGTAACATTCTGGATTGTGTCTGGGAGATAAGCTGGGACCTAAACACTACTTGGAAGAGGGGTCAGCAGACTGCTGTGCCAGCTATGGCCCAGAGTGTGTTTTTCTGTTGCCTGAGAGTTCACATTGGTCTTTACATTTTTAAAAGATTGTAAGCAGAAGAAAACAAAACCAAAATGCCCAGAAAGTACAAATGACAAAAAAATGGCCTGCAAAGATGGAAATATTTACTAAATGAGTCTTCTCAGAAAAACTCTG